TCTAATGTAGCCCAGCTCTGACCCTAGAATCTCAGTAAGAGGGCCTGGTGCACTGCTAGCGTGCCCCCGGGACAGTGAGGGTCTTATATCAGCTGGCTGAGACCACCAATACCAAACAGCCGATTGCATGCCGATCAGGCCCCAGGAGGCTCTTTACCAGGCATGAGCAATGGCGGGACGGCAAATGTCAATCAGAAGATCTCCTGCATCGGTCGGTCCCCTGAAAGGGCGAAGGGCCACCAATGCTGGCCAGGGGACCATAGTGCCTAACAGGGGACCCTGTGTCGGCAACGGGCCCAAAGTCGAGTAGGGGCACCTTTCCTGAACAGGGACAGCTACGGGACCCCAAATGTCAAGAAGCCGCTGGCGTTGGTTCGAGGCCGTTTCAAAATGAAGACATATGAGATATGACTATGTAAGGTTTCACTTTCACACTAAGATAATGGAAGTACCCCGGGGTCAGTTAGAGGTCACAGTACCGAGCAAGGGTCTCCCTGCGCTCTTTCAAACAAGAGCCGATAAGCTGAATTGGTGTCGCAGTAGGAATTATTGGACTTTCTACGCCAGTAATGGGTTGTTTACATCAGTGAGGGCCGCTGCGTCGATCCAGTGCCAAGTGGTCGTACCGGAGGACCTGTCGCACCAGGTAGGGGGCCCGTGCAGCGCATGATGTATCCCTCCGACAGACTCCGGATCCACCAGGGAGCGCGGTCTCTGTATTGCCAAGATGGCAGCTGCTGGGGACCCCGGGCTGGGCCGGAAGTCTTTCAGGTCCTGGCCAGGACATTTTGGCCGTATTTTTTTACCAGGCCGATGCTCTGAACGACATAAGTAGCTCCAGTAACATGGGTGATAGAGATTACGGCACTGCGTCATGAGTTTGTGGTGCTATAAAGGCTAATCCGTTCCGAACATTGAGCTTTGAGAAGTTGCACTAGTGAAATACTATGCTCGGGATCCACAATACGCATTAGAGTTGATTTCGCACAGCGGTCGAAAGCATCACTTTCCGGTGCGCGCTGGTTTTGCTCGCCCGTTGACCGCCACCATGCACTGGCTGCGGAGCCGACGCCACGTAGCTCATGGAGACTGCAGCGCCGGGCATCGGTGTTCTTTCTCCCCAGACTGCAGCGCCGGGCATCGGTGTTCTTTCTCCCCAGACTGCAGCACCGGGCATCGGTGTTCTTTCTCGCTAGACTGCGAGCGCACATCTTAAAACTTCTATGTAATTCTTCGCTGATGGATTCCATAGAAAGGATGAACCTCCCAAGGTGAACATGGGCTGGACCTGCCAATGTAAATCCGCGATACCTTAATATCTTTGTAAAACACCAAGGAAATCCGGCAAATTCTCTTTCAGTCAAAATAGTTCAAGATTAAACAGCTGAAAGATGGAGATCGGTTTATCAAAGTAAAGTGGACTAAATCCGGCGAACCGTTTGGGGTGATTTTAGGAACGGATTCCCTGATGCCTTTCTACCAGCAGGCCGTTTGTTAACCGCGGTGCCCTTCTCTTACTGTGGCTCTGGCTGTGCCTCTGGCCACAACGCCTGTGCACGCACTTCACGAATTCCCGGATATCCGTCCAGATTAGCGAAACCCATGGAGATGGGGTAGGAGTTGTTCACTTAGACCCGCACTTTGTAAAAAATAATTTAGCACTGCAAATGGCTCTTGACAAAAATTTAGAAAGCAAATAATGATGATAGTCATTTGGCGGAATTGTTCCAGGCGTTGGTTATTACGGATTCACGTGAGGTGCTGATATAATGATGGAAAACACAAGACAAAGCACCACAAAATGCAACAGCAAAAGCAAAAAACAGATGCCATCCAAAAACTCTCCATGAACACTCACACACCACAACAAAATCAGTCAAAATGAACCGCAGCAACATCACGCGCTGCTGTCCCCGGCGGTCGACTCCATAAACCTGGCGTCCAAGTATGGTGCGGCTTTGTATGCAAACTGTCGTTGAGTTTTAGCCAGTCGACACCTTGAGAACTGCAACATCCTGACGGCCGCGGCTAGTAGTGTCGTGCGACGACACATAGGCGCAACGAGCAAACGTGTCCGATTTTGCTGGGGGACACTGGCCGCAAGAAAGGGCTTTCTGCGCCTGCGCCCAGTAGTAGCGGCGCACCATCTCTTCCACTCCGGCCCAGCAAAGTGCCTGTAGCGCTGGTGAGATGTGTTCCCAGCGCCGCGCCTCAGATACAAGTCTGACCGCGAAGTTCAGTGCTTTTCGGACACGCTGGAGCTAGGGCTCAATGTGCACATAACATTGGAAATACCTAAAGCGAGATCCGTTGCGAGTGAGCAGATGTCGTAACGCAACGACAGTAACAGTTGAATGTGTCCGCAATCGAGCAAATAAAAACGACAGGTGCATGGCTGAAGTGTGAACTATGTGAAGTTGCCATTGATACGCAGGCACAGATGTAATGGATTATGTATGTGCAAAATATGAAATGCAGATAAGTCACGCCGTCATTAATTTATTTTTATCGCAGCAAAAATATGCACCGTACATTCGTTGCTTGCTCTTCCAACTGGTTTTCGCTGGCTCACTGTCTTGTGAATCGTGGCTCATCTGGTCACCATGGGTTAATGCACAGAGCTGGTGTGCCTGCCAGGGGGAGCAGGGGTGCTCCTGACACCCATTGCTTGTCGTCCTCTCCCCCGCCGCGGGTGGCGGTGGTGACGTATATACCACATATTGCAATACATTACTTGCCCTTGGCTACCACGTTGTCCTTGTGACACGGCCGTCCCACGAGCCCCACGGCGAGTGCTCAATGCTAGATGTGACTCTTATAACAGCTCATGTCTTAAGCTAGAGCTGAGCGGTCAAAGATGACTTACATGCTGCTGTTAACAGCTTGCTGTTGGGCTTTTCCTTAGATGCGGCTGCTCTGGACACCTCGGTGCTGTGACCTGCCCTGTCCCAAGCTGTCGAGGACAACAACCGGCAGTCGAGGCTAGCGGCCTGGCTGGAAGCCGCCTTACCGTGGAGGCGGAGGAGGTGACGGTGGCATGGGCGGAGCGGGGGCGTGGGCGCAGGGGACACTGGCGGCCGTCCTGCTGCAGGTGGTGTCATACACATTCTTCGCTCAGCCACTGGGCCTAATCGAGCGCCGCCCGCCACCCGTCTACCCGTAGCACTTCATGCTGCAGGTGCGCGATTGTGGTGTCGTGCCCAGGTCGCACTGGGTTCTGACCAGAAAACGGGACATTAAGGAGGGGGAAGAAGAAGCTTGCTTGACAGCAAAACGTGACAAAGAAGCTTGCCGATCGGTGGTGATGACGCATAGGTCCAGTGAGTGAGTGCTGCGCTAAAGCGTGGTTGATAGTTGACGCGAGTTTGTGTTGTAGATTATTTGAAAACCTAATCTCATATGTATGTCGATTGAGATTCGTCGTTCTGCTGTGGAACGTGTCGTTCTGCTTTGGAATATGTTGTATTGTTCCGATTTAGATGCATCGTTTTGTTGTGCCATGTTATGGCTACACAAGTTTGTTTGCAATGCTGATTTGGAAGTTTTGTTTTTTATGGTCAGGGTATGTCAATGGAGATGCGGCGTTCTATCATGCAAAGCGTTACACGTGGTGCACGGAGGAGCTCGTATTTGCTAGTCACGTTGGTGTGGATCATCAGCTGTCTAGGGGCGAGACATGAGCTCTTTGATGGCGTACTCATATTTCACCACATGCTAGGCCTATCCTTTGTTATTTGCCATGTGGCATGACGATGTCAAGCCTGGTCGGGATTCTGTGAACACCCCATTAAAGGTATTCGGAGTATACATCGAGCATTAAAAAAGTTATGTGGTTGAGGTCCAAGCCTCGGTACTGGACGCAGGCAAGTGTAAACAGCCATTATTCAGGTATCCACTGCTGTCTACGGAATTGGCAATGCTGTTTTTGTGGTGCCGTTTTGCCAACGACAGTGGTGTCTGTTGGCTTCTTCTACTGAGACTTCTGAAAGTCTGAAGCATTTCATCTGGAACAAAAATGATTTTATGCCTGAGATAAAGGTTACTGCATTTGTTCGCTCTCAGCAGTCCCTCCAAAAAAGCTCATTATCTTAAAGTGAATAAAGCTGAACAGTGTCGCTCAGCGTTAGTGTGTAAAAGTGGGTGAAGGAATGCGGGTTTGTTTATGTGTTGGCTCGTGTGGTGACCCTCATGTTATGATAAGACTCGATGCGAGTTGAAATTATATAAGTTGTCTTGATGTTAGCAAGGATGAAATCAAACAGAAAAGATGAGCATGTTTATAAGTTTCCCACGGCGCCTTGTTTTGGCGCTAATGATATCGCAAGGCAGAGTATGAATATCTGGAGTTTAAAAAAAATGTTAGCCGGCCGATGCAAACTTTATGTGTGCACTTTCCTTGTGGGTTTTCAAAGTTGGGTTCGGGGCGGTTGCAGGCACTCCGAATTTCAAAAAGTGATAGCCTTAATGCCCGTCTTACCTACCATTGTAAAATGTATGCCAGAAGATATCAAGCTGTTTAAGGAACTGGATTTTCGTGAGTTTTGTAGTCTGAAAATGGTTTCAGATTTTTGGGCTGTCACTTAAGTAATAAGAAACCTGAGCAAGGCAAATGGAAGTTGGAATTGGTATCCGGTGTGACCAAAACAAATGGATATGCGAGCGCCAAGATCTTGTGCCAAGCCTAGGCGCATATGGCAGTCGACCACCGAACAGCTTTCGGTAGACAAATATAGTAGTAACAAAACCGTACGATTTCAGCTTAGCCCACTTTTCTAGCGGTTACTAGCTATACCAAACCTCAATTTTATTTCTTGTCTTCTGCAAGGCTTACGATTCTAGCTGTTCGAGCTCTGTTTGTCCAACACGGGTGCCTCCCACTGCCCGTTCATTGGTCGAGCGTCCAGGCGGCGCTGGCTGGGGCCAGCCACCCGCGAACGAATGGAACGGTGCCGGCGCCGACCGCTCGGCCGCGCGCGCCTCGCGGGCCAGGTCAGTTGGGGTTTGAACGGCGGGGGGTGTGGGTGCGCCGGCCGGCCGACTGTCTGGTGCAGGATCGCGAGACGCCTCGACCAGCGGTTGTATGCCAGGATCAGTATGCTCAGTCCGAGCGCTTACAAGATCCCTTTCGCCATGCCGCCGATGCCAAACTTAGGAAAACTCAGCCCGGACAAGGAGAAACCAGCAGGTAAATACAGCGCCTCACCTGCGCTCGTGATTGGTAATCGTGTGGGCAGCGAGTGTCCAATGACGAGTTCACGGGGTCGTGGTCTCTCGTTGAGTGGAGGACAAATCTGAACATGTGCTGCGTCTCGTTTATCTTAGTGGGAGTGATAGAGAATGTTGAACTTGCCTCCGTGCAAGTAGACTGATTTCGTAGTAGATGGGAGGCTCATTTAGGCCTCGCGGGTGTCCTGTATGTGGTTTCTGGCATTTTTCTATTCGGGTGAGGTCGGTTCTGGCCGTACATCTGCAGAAGCGAATGTTTTCTAGGAGATCTGTGTGAGGTGTAAAATTATGCGGATCGCTCAAGAAACGGATTTTAGGTTAAGATTCTCAGGCGCCCGTAGCGCGAATGCGCCGTCTCCGTTTACTTAGCTCCCAGGCAGTCGGGGTCGCGCCTCCACCTCCACCACGCTTGAATGCGAGAAAGTGCAGTTTAAAACGACGCCATGCTGCGTGGGGCGGGCATTCCCAACACGTTAAGGAACGCTTTGCTTCTCCGCAGGCATCTGGCCGACCTTGGGTATGCCAATATGCTCGCGCACTTGTTCCGCGTGCAACGCTGATAAACAAGGCGACCTTCGTGGGGCGGTTTTGCGCTGTTGGCTCCGACGTCCCAGCAAGCACGCGGCGTGACACCAAGGACGCTGATGCTGCGTTTGAAATGGGAGAAGCCCCCCTCCTTACGTGTTATGGTGTATCGACTGCTGCCTGCACTACATCAGGCGTCGCTCTGTGCTTGGAATTTTATTTAGTTCAGTTCTTGACCCGTGTGAGAAGTCTAAGCGCCTGTTTGAGATGAGGCAGTATCTTAATTCGGTGAGAAAGGCTGATTTTGCACACTTCGCGGAATGTTTGGTTCCGGAGTTTGAATTCCTTACGACGCTTAAAGCTAAGCTCTATGCACAATTTCACCTGTTTATGAATGGCGTAAGAATGGCCTATCAAAAGGAAAGGGTCTTTGCGGCGTCCGACCAATCTGTCAGGCAGAAGAGACGAATGGCACGAAAGCTTCGAGACTTGGTGCCTCCATATGCTCGCTACAACCCGGACGTTCTGAAATGTTCCAGGAATCATGACTTGGTCCTTTTCCGCGAAGCGTGCAGGTGTCAGTCCAGGAACGTTATGTAACGGTCCGTGAGCAGTAACTCTTATGTAGTTCTCTGTTACGAAATGCATGCGCGTCTTTCAACCTGCGCTTGAGTGAAGCGCATAGCTGAAACGGACGTCGTGGATTGCCGCTATTTAAAAAAAAAAATGGTCGTGGCAAATAACGGTCGTTCGGCGTCCTGCGCTGGCGTGAGATGAGACGGACTTCTCATCGCGTACGGCGTCAAACTTAGTGGAACTCTGGGCGATTCAGGACGAGTGCGAACTACGGTGGCGGCATCTCGTCAAACGCTGAAATTTGGTCCCTGCGCTGCTAGGCGCGTGGACAAGTATCAAATCAAATGAATGGAGTAACCTTTGACACATGGTTTTTGCTCCACGCTCGGCCTCCGATACGATTGGCGGAAAGACGCGTGTTGTTTGCGCTCAAACAGCGCGGCATCAGTCCCGCCCGGCGCCGATTGTGTGCTGGCGTGACCCAATCCGGTGCAGATAGCCGCTTCCGGGCGGGGCCTCTGCTCAGATAGGCCGGGCGCCTCTCAAGTGCGTGTTTCCCAGGGCGGGGCGGGCCGTGGCCACGCCGCTCGCCGCCCGACGGCCTCCCTCCCGCGTCGACCCCGCTGGCGGCGCCGCGGCTCCGATTCGGGGAAACGCGCCAGACGGGGGCTGGGCCGCCGCCGCCGCCGCCCGCCGGATGCGGCGACTCATGGCTCACGCCGGCCATGACGTCACGGCTCGTACGGCGGCGGCGGCGGCGGCGGCGCGCCCCCGGCTGGCAGTCGGCGTCGGGGTGCGGCCGGGGTCGGACGTGAGCGCTGAGCGTGGTCCCACACAGCACGCTATGCGTACCCAGCCGGCAGTGTCAGTGCAGATGGGCTGCGATGTGCGAGGCAAGGTGCCAGCCAAGGCGAAAGGTACGCGACTGGGGAGCGACTTCCAGCTGCGCTGGTTGGTGCTGGGACTTCCAGAATTTGTGCCGGAAGCTATCGTGACTTTTGACGGGTGATTGGACCGCCGGTTAAACCGGGTCAACAAGCGATTGTCACACAGGCTTCGTGAAACTCGACCTTGCCGGGGCTGCGTTCCTTGAAGCCCATTCTCCTTCCAGCAGCTGAGGAAAAACTGGTGTGTCAGCAAGGCACGTTCTTGCTCTCGCCTCTGGCCGCGCAACATCGCCACGCCCTCGCAAGGGTTGCTCCTATCCGGAGCAGTTTTTGCCGCGCTCGTAGCTCGTGGCGTGTGCTGTCCATTTTTTGTGGAGCGCGCCGCTAGGGCGGGGGTGTTAATACGGGCTTCGTAGCCAGGGAAACAGTCAGCTGACCAGTGTGCTTCTTCTTCGGCAGAGCCGGCGCCCCGTCAGATGCCGTTCGCCCAGGCCTACTCGGTGGGCCGGGTGCTGGGCAAGGGCGGCTTCGGCACGGTTTACGCCGGCATCCGGAACCGTGACCGGCTGCCTGTGGCCATCAAGCACGTGCTCAAGAGGAACGTCGGCAGCTGGGGAATGGTGAGTGCCGTCAGCCTGCCGGGCTCCCGTCGGCGCCACGCTCCCGAGAGAAAGCGGTCTCGCCGCGAGAAAGCGCGTGGTCCGACGCGCAGATGGTGCGCTCGCAGCTCCCTGATGGTGTGGCTCTCTGCCCCGCGGTCCTTGCGCGCCTCTGACCGTGGCCTCCTCCCGCAGCTCAACTACCAGCGCGTACCGCTGGAGATCGTCCTGCTGAAGGAGGTGCAGAATATCGCGGGCGTCGTCAAGTGCTTCGAGTTCTACGAGCGCGCTGACAGCTTCATCCTGATTCTGGAGCGGCCCGACAACTGCATCGACCTGTTCGACTACATCTCGGACCGGGGCGCGCTGGACGAGCACGTGGCACGCAGCTTTTTCAAGCAAGTGGTGCGGACTGTGATGGAGTGCCACGCGGCCGGGGTGGTGCACCGCGACATCAAGGACGAGAACATCCTGGTGGACCAGCGCACGGGCGAGCTGAGACTCATCGACTTCGGCTCGGGCGCCCGCCTTAAGGACGGACTATACACGGACTTCGATGGTGAGTAGCGGCGGTGGGGCCCGTCGGTCGTGGCGACGCTCGAGTAACGGTCAGGGCCGGGGGAAAATGGCGGCGGGGCGGGGCGGGGCGGGGCGGACCGGACGGGCCGGCGGCGGCGCCGCGAGGCGGCATCGTCCGTCGGACGCGGTCGCTCGACGCGGCGGCCACCGCGCGGCGCCATTCATTGGACGTCTGTCCGGGCGGTAACGGTTCACTTCCGGGCCCGTCTGGCTGGCGGCGGCGGCGGCCGCGCGGCGCGGGGCTATATCGGGCGGCCGCGCGCTCGTGTTTCGTCGGGCCCGCCTGGCGCTCGTCTGCCGCGGCGGGCTAAAGATAGCGGCGCGGCGTGGCGGCGCCGGCCGCTCTGCCCGCTCTGCCCTGGCGGCGGCGCCGGCTCGATACCCGCCGTACTACGCAGCAGACGCCGTCGGCCCGCCTGGCAACGGGCGGCGGGCGTCGTTGCCAGGGCATCGATTCATCCGCTCGTGCGCGCGCGCGCCCGGCCGTCTCTGACGTGGCTCTCTGCCGTTACAGGTACGCGCGTCTACTCTCCGCCCGAATGGGTGCAGCATCGCAGCTACCACGGCGAGCCAGCCACCACCTGGTCGCTGGGCATCCTGCTCTACGACATGGTGTGTGGCAACATACCGTTTGAGGAGGACCACCAGATCATCCGCGCCGAGCCGGCCTTCCGCGGCAGCCAGTCGCCGGAGGTGCGCGACCTGGTGCGCCGCTGCCTCTCGATCCGGCCTGAGGACCGGTTGAGCCTGCAGGAGGTGATGCGCCACCCGTGGATGGAGGCCAGCCTGCCCGCCTCGCCGCCCACCAACATTCCGGTGCGCCGCACGTCTGGCTCCCTCAGCTTCTCCGACAAGTCGAGCTCCAGCCAGGAGAGCGTTTGACGACCGGTGGCCGGTAGCTGGTGATTTAGGCTCAGTGGCGGCCCGGTCCGCTGGACGGTGGCGCCTGGCGCTCGGCCCTGGCGCCTGGCGCCTCTCATTGTACATACCATCGGAGCCAGATCTGAGCGGCGCCGGGCGCGGCCGGCAGGTGCCACACAGTTTTATTATTATGTTCCTAGTACGCTGCGGCGCGGCTGGTCTGACGGAGACGGCCGCCGGCCTCCTGCGCGGCTCACCGGATACAGCGGATGGATGCGCGTGCCCGTGTATATTTATTATTATATATTATTGGAAGTTGTAGAGCGGGTGTGGTGCGCGTGCGTACGTGTTCAACTACGGAGTACTGTACTGTACATATCAGGCCGCCGGGAGACCTGCACTCGACTGTGGGAGGCGCAAGACGCGCGCCCGCGTGCGAGCAGATTCCTAAACCAGTGCCATGACACCATGCAGGAAAACGTCACACTAACGTCTCGGAAGACCTCGCACATTCGTCGGGGATTGCGAAGCTCGTTCTAGCAAACCAAAGATGTTCCAAAGTCATCGCACCGGGGGAATCGACTGGTCGCGGTGGCCGGTAGCTCTAGTCGAACGTTGCTGCTGAACCATCAGTCCTGTCTGAACGCTGCCCTTCTCGGTCTTGTCTTGTGTGCTGACCCGCATTGGGCGGGACCGTCGGTGTTGCCTTGTCTCACGTTTTAGCTCGGAACTGGCACTCAGTCATGTCTGCGACCTTCTCTCTAAGGGCATCATCCATTGTTGACCCGCGTAGTGGGTTTAGTAGCCGCGGCCGACGCCGTATGTTGTGTTGTGTGTACATACCCAGCAGCAAACAGAAGACGGTATTTTTATATGATAACGCGATGGTAAATACAAGTGTCAAAGTATCCGGCTGTTTCTCTCGGTGGTCGACGTCAAGGCGCTGACGTGGCCCACGATGGGGTGGGAGCGGAGAACGGAGCGCTTCCACGAAAGCCCGCCGCTGTCGAGATGAGGCAGCATCCTGACGCGTGTTCCGAGACCTGGGGCACCGGAAGGGAGGAAGCCCCTCAGCCGTGGAGTGGGCACCGGTGGCCGGTGGGCGCGCCAGCACGGCCACCGCTCGAGCGTACTGGGCTCTGCTGGTTCGCAGAACCAGTCACCAGTCTCGAAAAGAACCGGCCTAGGACCGCAAGCTTCGCTGCACATCCCACGGACATAGTACCCACCATAGCGGCGCCGAGTCAGGAATGCCTCGTGGGCCAGCCCAGACAACATTCCACCGTAGGTAGGTGCAGCCAGTCGCACTCCACGCCGGCTTCAAAACCGGCCAGCACGAGAAAAATGCCGTCTGACAGCCCAACAGAAAATGCCAATAGGCTGACACTTGGGCCAGCCCGTGAAATGCTTCGGACCGTTTTCGGCATACCGGCACGAAACGCGGCTTTCCTCCAGGCCCGCTGACTGTATAACGGTCGCGCCAGTGACGTGGTGCGGCGGCCGAGAATGTAGTTTTCTATTCAGTCGGGAAGGCTCCAGTCGTCTGACTTGGGCTTCAGTCTCGTCTGCCCCCCCCCCCCCATGACTTAGGACAGAAAGCGGGCGAAACTGAGGAGAGACGCGTTTTTGCATATTTTGGGGGTAAATTCCTTCAGTTATCACTGATCAGCCCCACCCTCGCCCCCAACTCATTTTGCGAACATACACCCTCGACGGTGACGACTCAAAACTCCTGCCACGAGCTAAACTGGGTGCAGTGCTGCTACCAAGTTCACAAATCATTGTGAGTTGACGTTATCCGCCGTGCACATTACATCTCAATTCGGGTTGTACAACCCACCGGCGCTACAACTTCAACCTCCTTCCATCCCAGCGTTGTAGTCGCCGTTGAGCCCGTGCCGTACGGCACGTGGCGAGAGTCCGCCACTGTCACTTCGTGCTGGACGCAGTCACTACGTGCAGGTGCGCGGCGCCAGACTAAACAGCGGGACGCCGTCTGAGCCCCGGACTGTGGCGGCGCGCCGCGTGTTTACCGTCGAGCCGACGGCCGGCCACACCCCCGCACTCGTAACGGGTGTCTGTCACCTTGCAGACAGGTTGGCCCGGTCACGAAACGACGGGGGAAAGGGGTGGGGGTCAGGCCGCCGACCACGGACGGCCGCTGCCTCTCCAGACACTAGCTCTCTGAGCAGGGCACGGGCTTTCGCTCGAGAGTTAGCAGTTCGCACTGAGCAGTGGTCCTCCGCGCGAGCCATCAGCGCTTGCGGTAGGCGCCGGCCGGCTGACCCAGTCGCCGCCTGCGAGACTCGGAGCAGAAACCGCTCTGCAGACTCGGCCCCGCCCGAGCCTTCCGGGGGCGGAGCCGGCGCGAGCCCGCCGGCGGGTGGAGTCCGTCCGCGCACGCTGGACGGCTGCCGACCTCGTCCGCCTTCTGCAGGCTGGGCGCACGCACAGGGCCGCGTAGCCGCGGTCCGTATTTGGCAGCCAGTGCGCGGGCGCGGGTGGCGCGAGAGGGGTGGATGCCAGCAGAGGCTGACTCACGGCCGGGCAGGGCTGCCGGCCGTGTTGACACGGCGCCGCCGCTGCCAGCGCCGCCGCCGCCGCCGGCAGACCACATCAAAGCCGCTGACTGGACGGCCACCTGACCACGTCACAGCCGCTGACTGGGTGGCCACCTGACCACGTAACGGCCGCTGACCGGAGCGTCAGCGGAGCGGCGCCGCTCTGAGGCGAGTCCGGTGCGTCGGGACCCCCGCGGGCTGGACCGGTACCCTGGAGTGCCGGCCGGGCGCACTCTGGACGCTACCGGCGCCGGCCGAGGGCTCCAGAAAACAGGCCATCAACACCGGCCAGTAAACGATCAACGTTTTATTGCCCTAGCTGGACACGCTGCTACTGAGGCTGCCCGCACTGAATCGCGCGGCCGGTTCTGCTCGGCCTGTGTCTTACGCGTCCTGTGGCCGTCCCGCACCCCGCGCCGGAAACGCCGCAGCCCCGCCTGTCCATTGGCCGCGACGGTTCGCTGCGATCCGCCGACGTCATGTCATTGGAGCCGACGGCGACGACCCCCCTCCCCCCCCCCCCCACACACGGATGGTGGGGGATCGGGCCCGTCGGGCGGCGCGGGGAAATCCTCGTCGTGCGGCGGACAGCCGGGGGGGGGGGGGGGGGGGAGGGCCTCCTCCGCCACGTGATCCGGCATCGGCGGTGACGCTGGTGGCGAACTGACAGGACGGGGCAGCGCATCGCGTCCGGGTTGGGGCTCGGAGTGGGGTTGTGTTGGGTCTCGGAGCGGGGGCCGCTTAGGGCTTGGAGCCGGGAGCGGTTTGGAGCTCAGAGCGAAGGCGGGTTGGGGTTCGAAATGGGGGTGGCGGGGTGGGGAGAGGGAATGGCTGATTGTAATGACCTGTGGTAGTGAATGCGTAGGTTCATGCGCGTGACCTGTGACGAGTCTGCGCGCGACTTAAGCTTCAGCAAACCGGCTCGCAGCTACGCCTGTCATATGGTGCGTGACGTCACGCGCGTCTGCAAGTCAGAGGTGGCGGCGTTGCAAACACGGGCTGAGAAGCAATGCGCCGCAATCCAATCACATTAAACACGCATTTTTACGAAGCGTTGTATGATGTCGTCTTCAGGTGAGCCTTCCATCCTGCCATCGACACCGCTCAGAGACGCTCAGCTTCGCCACAGCGTGGCCGCATTACCTGCACAACACCATGTTCTGGCCGCGTGCGACGCCCGTGCAGCGGCGGCAGTGCGGAGTCAGCAGGCTAATGCGAGCTTCCGGTGTCGTCGGGCTGTTCGCCGGCTGTGGCGGCCGTCGCACAGGTGGCCCAGCGCAGCTACGACGACGGACACGTGTTCTCGGAGACAGGCGCTCACCGGGGCCGGCTGACGCCAGCACTTGACATCCGGGGGCCAACCGATGACCAGGGGAACCGGTGCAACGAGAAACGGGTCAGATCGACGGGGAGAGGCAAGCCGTTGAAGTATTGGGACTGGCGCGGCTGCCAAGGGCCGCTCGGAGGCCCACGGTGACTGAAGTTGTCGATCACCTCCCCCCCCCCCCCCACATTACAGGCTTGTCAATACATGGTCATCTCATATTGGTGCGCCGATGTTGCCAGCTGGAATAGTATGTCATATAAGTGTAGCGTCTTCTTCCCCGCATAACTGCCCGTAATGACCGAATGTTTGACATCGCAGTCGAACTACGGGGAGACAAACATCGCACAAAAACGCCTTAATGAGAATGAGCAGAGTTGCAAATCACAACAAGAGTAAGCCCTTCAATCATGAAGGTAGGCAGAGATTAAAATTTCTATCCACATGTGAGCTTTATCCGGACTTCTAGATGCAACCCAAGCCTGCAAAGGAGAGAAGCTTCTTTTTCATTGCGGGGGGGGGGGCTTCAGGCCCCAAACAACACCACGGATTCCAGCCCCCAACTGTAAGAAGAAAATTGGTCAAATCCGGAGAGGAAACCGTTTGTTGACATTCTCTGGGGATGGGTTTCTCATTTTTTGCAGTGCCCAGCCCTCGCTCATTTTGCGGAGCTACACGCCTGAGTCCGGACGTCAGTGGCTGGCTGGCGCGCGATTCGGCAACCGACTTTGAACGCCTGAACGTGTCACTGGCACCGGTATCCTGGGCAATCAAACAGAGCCGAATCAGGGCTTGCGTTTGGCCCGCTCTCACGCCGCTGCTGCAGATGTAGGATGCGGCACGTGCATGTGCTGTGTGTGTTCTTCGGCTGCTAAACACCTGGCTGCATCAGTGGCAACTAAGTGCCACTTACAAGGTGGCTGGGCAACTGGAGCTGTAGCGACATCGAGCATAACTGTGACAGTATTGCTGGCAAAAAAAATCTGTCTCTAGCGGTGTGCATCTGCAAAAATACTGCGCTTTCGCCATTTCATATGCTGTGCATTACTGTATTCCAAGAATGCAAATAATGAGCCTGTGTATTGGCAGGGACACGACAGGCTTGTTACCTGGCGAGCAAAACTGCGCCGCCAGCTTGAGGACGACCTTATTATATTCCTACCATGAAACATAAATAATGTATTTTCGCAAGGAAAATGCCGCCTCAATGCGTCGTGGAAGAAGTTGCGCTATCGTCTCTAGGGCGATATGGTGAGATTAACTTAAGCTTTTATCATATACTTGCATGGAAAAGAAGATGAAAAAGCAGTCTAGAAGCGAACGACTGACAAGGTGTTGTGGGTGGAAGTGCGCCATTGGCTCAGGATGGGCTGACTGGATTGCGTTGTTGTGTTAATATAGCATAGCATAGTATGGCATGGCATAAACAGTTTTAGTGATTGTATAGTATAGTAGTCCAATGTGACCTGAACTGAGTTAGTTTTATTGTAAGCACAGAACAAGCCGCAATTCATACATTTTTGACAGTTACGACAGACACAGGATGCTCAGGGTAGAAATACGCCACCGGCTCAGGGGTGACCTGAGGTCAGTGTGGGTCGCTGAGCGCGGCGACCGAGGGCGCTAACGCCGCGGCGGCCTGAAGCCTCAGAGGGCCGGTGGGAGCCAGCCCGGCCGCCGTCACACCCCTCCTGCAGAGGGCGGCGGCGGCGGCGGGCCGGAGGAGGCGTGAGTGGGAGAGCCGACGGTGCCGGTATATCGTGGGAGTATTGATCGCACTCCGACCCGCCGTCCCAGGACGCGGAGAGAGCGGCAGGGGAGAGGGTGGGGCCGCAGCCGCCGCCACCGCGCGGAGGCGGGGGGAGAGGGCGCTGACAGGGGCGGGAGCAGGCGCTCACGTGGCCAGAGGCTTGAGGACATGACTAACACAGGCAACGCGGCAGTAAACCACAAATCTAACCATCGAGTGATGCCATGATGGATGACTGACAGTCATCGACGCTGACAACTGTATCATTCGTCT